TCACCTTGTGAGGAGTGAGGTGGGAGTGGGACTAGGCTCTTGTTAAATAGCCATTCCTTCATTCCATGCACATGCTGGAGCCATGTTCTTTATAACAACCCCCTGCAAGCCTCTTGCTGGTATGAATGGGGCTGAGCATGGGATTCTGATTTGTTCCCTCTGTTGCATGAAAACTTCTGCTCATTCAAGTGCACTGCTAAAATCTCGTGGCTACATGTTGCTGGCACAAACATTTCATTCCAAGCTTCATAAGCAATAGCGCTGTAGGATGCATTGTGGTTAAAGTGAGGTCTTTGGTCAGATTCAAACCATTTTATTAAACTGGTTAATTAGCAATTTGAAAAGGAAAAAATCAAGGTCTTAAGGTCTCCTCGGGTCACTGCCAAACCACAGCCTATTAACTACTCCTGCCTTTCAGCAGCAATAATGATGAGGTTTTGAGAACATATGGAATCAACTAGGTGAAAGGCTTTTATGAGGAACTTTAACAGGGGGCATGATTTTGCAAACAGAAATTCTAGCAGACGATTTCATGGATTTGCTTCCTCAACTGTCCCTTTAAAGAAACCAAACTCCTTCCTCATTGAGGGATGTCAGATTCAGACAGGCTTTCTCTCGGACACTGGGGGGAGCCTTTTAAGTGGCTCCCCCTGGACCTGTTTTTCAGAGTTTATTTCCTTGACACTGACCTCATTGTGGTGACTTTCACAGCTCGTCAACCCCCTGTCATAAAGTGGAACGAGTTAGGGATGGTGAGGAAAAACCAACCTCCTTCAGGAAGCTAATGGAATTACTGGTTTTACACAAACACTTAATTTCCTTGGTATTTTGTGAGGTTCTGTATTTTGATTGACTCAAGAACAGATTTAGCATAGTCATCCCTCTCCCCATGACTAGAGGGGGCCTTAAATCCCACCTGTTTTATCCTCCCCCAATCCTATATACCTGAAGAACATGTGTCTGCACACACAAACATTTTTTCTCAGTATTCCTTCTTACCAGTACAGTGGTATCTCAGGTTACAGACGCTTCAGGTTACAGGCTCTGCTAACCCAGAAATAGTACCTTGGGTTAAGAACTTTGCTTCAGGATGAGAACAGAAATCGCGTGGCGGTGGCAGCGGTAGTCCTCATTAGCTAAAGTGGTACCTCAGGTTAAGAACAGTTTCAGGTTAAGAACAGACCTCCAGAACAAATTAAGTTCTTAACCTGATGTACCACTGTGAGACACCTTCTCTTGCCAATTGGTTGGCTTGTATCCAGCCATTTTCAGCAGATTTCCATTTCTCCCAAGATATGTCTACAGCACAGTTCTAAATCAGCTTGACTATCCAGGCCCTCTGTTGCTTTTTATGGGTATGGTGAAGGCTTCACGTGCAGGTGTTAAAACTCAGCTCTGCACCATGTGATGTCGTGAACTAAAATAATGACTTCTGATGGGTAGATAAGGCCAGGCTTACAATCAAACTGCATATTTACTGAGCGCGATTCAAGATCGTGGTGGGCAGGTTAAGGTGCATCTGCGCCAGTCTTTCTCACAAGAAAAAGCAGTCTTTTTTCCAAGTGGGGTTTCAAATGAAGGAATATAAATTAAGTTACCTCCTCATAAGTAACAGAAACACCAGTAATCCTGCCCAAGTGCCTGTGTATGTATGAATTGTTAGCACGTGAAACATAAAAGCCTAGAAAGAATTGTGATATTTATGTTTAGAAGCTTTCTCCTATTTGTTATAAACACCACCTTTAATTAACCATTACCACCTTCAAGCCCTTTGCCATTCTCACTGTCAAAGCAGCTAAAGAAGGATTTTTTCTTTTAATCGTAAAGAGTGATAGTGATCTTGAAAAATCATGAGGTGGGGGGCTCTTGGGTGGGCAGAGCAGGATGCATCAAGTGAGTACAATTTGCACCACTTTTTATTAAAGGAAGAGGAAAGGGGAAATTATTAGAGGAAAGGACAAGTCTTCAAACTCAAGAGAGCCCTTTTTAAAGTTGAGAAGGGAGACACAGAGAGGGCGGGGAATGCCTTACTTTTAAAATGGTTTATGGTGATTTGTCCTGTTTATCTATAGGAAGCAAATCCAGAACTTTTTGATCTGGAGTTGCAGACTTTGTGGCACAATAAAACAGTGATTTATGGGCAGCTTCATGTGATTCCTTGGAACAGGTGGCATTTTAAGCAGCTGTATATTTCTTTCCTGGAGCTTAGAATGGTCCAAATCCACCAAAGAACTGACTTTTATTGGGATTTCTCAGAACAAAACCTGTACACATGTGGGCATGGTTTTCTACCTGCCCCTAATTGGAGAAGGTGATAATTCTGTCTAAGATGCTGTGGCCTTTGAATGCATTTCGATCAAATTCAAATCCCAAATCTCATTATAATTTCAAGGCCAAACGAGCAAAGGCTGCAGTTCCCAATCCATTTAACTATGAAGTAACCCTGTTGGTTTTATTGGGGCTATTCTAAAGTTCAATTGCTTGTGGATTACAGCCAAAAGCACTTGCCGCCTGAGCAGCTGATCTGTTTGAAAAGGGCAGGGCAATTTTCCAAGGTGCCTGAACTATTATTTCATACAGTCTCATTGACATTGCTGACAACTCCTGAAGTCCAAAGTAGACCCAAGCAGTCCAATGCAGTTTGTTGTTGTTGATTAGTAACATTTTGTTTTGCATGTGTTCTTTGAAATCAACATTTGCTGAATTAAGCATTTGTTGTGGTGTAAGTCTTTTTATGGGTATGGTGAAGGCTTCATGTGCAGCTGTTAAAAGCATGTGACATTGTGAAATAAAATAATGATTTCTGATAGGTAGATAAAGCCAGGCTTGTTTACCATTTGTATTTGCATTGTATTGGCTGGGCATTTAGAGGGCAAAATGTTTTGCATCATGTACATAAGTAAATGTACAAAGCAACTTTTACAGCAGCTCTAGAGTTCCAATAGCTTTTCTAAAACAAGGGATAAATATGTTAAAAATAATGTGGCTTTATAGTAAAGGTGTAATGAACGTTGGCCTGTAGCTAAGAAGCAGCAGCTATTCCGCTAACAATCTCCTAGGAATGTTTAAGGGCACATTGTGGAAGTACACTTTAAATTTGTCATTACTGGAAGCAGAAGAAAATGTATGTGGACCAGGAGTCACATATCATTCCATCCTACCAAATCTTTCCCCACATGTCTAAGCCTAGGCTTCAGCATTTTCTATGACCCATAAAATGTGAGATTAGCATCTCCCTAATTTAAACAGGCTGCAAAAAGCATAGGTTTAAAGGATTTCTTACCTTTTGAGGCTTATAGGCTAGGGAGGAAATAGCTCATCCAAGGATTTCCTGTGGATTCAAAATATTGGACTAATAAAAATAAAAGCTAAGAAAAAGATTGATTGGAAGAAGAGAGGTATAAAATGCTTACGTTTCAGAGTTATTTCACTGACAATCTTACCTAAAATATAAGAATATTTAACTTGGAGATGTTTTTTCTCTCTTTGGCTGACTTGGAACCTATTCAAATAGCACTGGTTGCATCATGGGTGTGGGACAAATGTGTGAAAACCTCCAGCCTGTGAAGAGCTGCATAATAATAATAATAATAATAATAATAATAATAATAATAATAATAATTTATTGATTGATTTATACCCTGCCCATCTGGCTCGGTTTCCCCAGCCACTCTGGGCAGCTCCCAACAGAATATAAAAACATGATAAAACATCAAATATTAAAAACTTCCCTAAACAGGGCTGCCTTCAGATGTATTCTAAAAGTGAGATAGTTGTTTATTTCTTTGACATGTGATGGGAGGGCGTTCCACAGGGCAGGCACCACTACCAAGAAGGCTCTCTGCTTAATATGCCCAGAATAAGCTTTCAGAACCCTTAGGGTTCAAAAGGCACCAGAAATTTTCACCTCCACCTCCAAATTTTTATTTTATTTTGTTGGACAGTAAAGTTTTTCTCAAGGGTATGGTTAAATAGTGATTTGGCAAGAGTTTATAAACAGACTACAACTACTGCTTGACTCTCTCTCTCTCTCTCTTAGACAGCTGAGTTGCTTGTCATAATTCTTTACATTCTAATGTACCTTAAGAAATGTGGCTCAGATTAATATGATCATTAAAATGGCTGATCTGGTTTCTTCTGGATTATCTTTTTGACAAGGACGAGAGATTTCACTGTAGGAGAGAGAGAACATCAGTTGCCAGTGCCTCCCCCACCCATGTGACTGAGAATTATTGTGGACTGCCACCCACGAATGTTTAAACTGACAGATAGCGGTCAGCTATCATTAAACTGCTGTCATGATCTCAGCAGCCACATCTTCATAAAAAGGCAGTTTGGTTTAGCATAATTGCTCCAACGTTGTGTTCATTCAGCAGTGACACACCCACACCCAATATTGTTTGGGCTGAATCGTGAATTAAATCTAGGGACAAACACATCTTGGAGGTGGGCAAGGGATATATACTATGGGAGATAAGCTATTAACTATCCCATTGCATAACTGGAAGTCAAACTTTGTAAGCAGGCATGGTTCTGGTCGCTTCTTCTAGAGCTGAATGTCATTCTGGTGCTATACTGCCAGGCTGAGCCATGGATCAGTGATAGGTTAGTTGCTCGCTTTGAGCTCTGTCTGTGGGTAGGGGGTAAAATCTGCTGCTTTAAAACAGGTCAGGATAAAACCTCAGGTCCAGGAGGATGCTGAATTGACTTCAATAAGAGATTGAAAATGTTGTTTTAGATGACCAGGCTTTGAATTGGGAGCTAGAAATTGATTGTTTTGAGTGAGAAGAGAGAGAAACTGAACACAAACAAGACCATGAATATATTCACACTCTTCACTAGCAAAAAGAAATCCCTGGCAAAAGGATGTTTCCCTTGACTTTTTTTGTTGTTTTTCTGTTGAGGATGTGTTCCAGTCTTTTCCATGCCTCTAATGCTTTACTTCTGGCATCACATCTTGTCTCCTAAGTAACTCCTATTCATTTTCTGTGTACATACAGGTGCTGTTTGCCTTGAACCAAACATTGCTGCAACATGAGAGTCTTCGAGCTGGCAGCTTGCAGGCCCCTTACACCACGGAAGATCTCATCAAGCACTACAACTGTGGAGATCTCAATGCTGTCATATTTAATCACGATACTTCACAGGTATGTTTCCCTACATAGGAGGAAGGTATAAATAGGTATAACATTGTTTCAAGGCCTATTTTTCTGTCCAGTTCTTTCTTCTCAGTATTTCAGCCCACAACCCTACAGTAGGTAGGTGGGGAATGGAGAGCTTCTAGCTGATTGAACGTATGATGTGAAATTATGTTTTCCCTAAGAAACCTGTCCAAATGCCCTGCTAGGCCTCTGTCTTTCATCTACCATAAATATCTCACAGACCCATGTTCAAGGCTCTTGTGTGGATATACAAAGCCCTGAGCAACTTGGGCCGCGGACACCATAAGGACGACCTGAGCCTTTACATCACAGCCCTATCAACTTTCTCCAAGCACCTCAAGGAGGTGTACATGGTTCTCCGCCTCCTCATTTAATCCACACAACATCCTGGTAAAGTAAGTTAGACTGAGAGGCAGTGACTGGCCCAAGGTCACCCAGAGAACTTTATGGATGAGTGGGAATTTGAACCCTGGTTTCCTAAATCCTAGTCTGACACTAACCACTTCACCACACTAGGTCATGTTATCATGCTTGCAGTTCCTGCTGTTTTGGCTACAGAGGCTTGAGGTTTTGTTGTACAAGACATGTAATCAGTTTCAGCACTAAAAGAGGTAAAAAGGTAGCTGCATATGCACCAGCTGTAACAAGGATCAAGCTGGTTTACGTTGCTTTGCCATTCTTCTCCTGCCTTGTGCTCTCAAACCCTTCTTCTCCTTCTCCTCCCCACACCTTGGATACCCCTCTGTTCTTCACATGTCTCTTGTTTCCTTGAGAGACAATGAGATATTACCACTGTTTTTCTAGAGCTGCTTTGTGTGTGTTTTGGCTTGGTGAGTGACTGAGAAGCTTTGAAAGGAATGTGAGCAGAAATGAAAGTTAATTGCAAGTGCTTGGAAGGCCTTTGAACATAATTCCCTCTCATTAGGACAAAAGACTTTGTAATAATTGACTTTGCATTTGAAGAGGAAGTGTGCATTATGTAAATAGGCTACAAGGCCAAATAACTTCCCAAACATGCCATAATCCAATAATAATCCGGGTGTCACAAGAGTTTGGTCAGAATCCTTTGTTTTCTCTTAGATCTTCAATATCATAGAGAACTTTTAAGAACTTCTGAAGTTTTATAAGTTCTCCCCTGCCCACGTCTCACACACATGGACAGCTTGTACAAATAGAACTTTTATGGAATATCTGGCAGAACCAAGAGGTAAAATATCATGGAATATGATCCACTGAAGTTAAACACTTAAGTGTAACTGCTTAAGTAGCATACACTTAAACCAACTGTACTTGAAAGTTTTGAACTTTGGCTGGATCATAACTATGATTTCAAGCATTTCTCCTTTGTTCTGCAGCCTACCGTAATCTATGGACTCATGAAAAAGAACAGACTTTAATTCATGTATTTCAGACATTTCTATGCTATGATAAAGAAGGCATAAAGAGAATAAAATTAGGGCACAATCTTAATTCCCACTCCCGACCCTGCCAGTACCCTGGAAATTGGTGGCATGGCTGCTGCATCTGCAGGCATGCTGCTCTAAACTACCATTGTGGAAGGTGGTGATGGGAGGTGGGTGGGTCCTGCAATTGGTCAATGCCAAAACCAGTGGATCCTGGCGTGATTCAGGTCTTCTCCCTCCCTCTTTCCTCTCTCCCCCCAGAATGTCCCATTCTGAGCTTTCCTCTGGATTCCACTGGCAACTGATGGGCTGCTGGCTGTCCTGAATCCTGGGCAGAGGATCTAATCTATCCCCCTCCCCCAAACCAACATAAGGGAGGGTATGGATTGCTGTGCCTGTCAATAAGTAAAACATCAGATAAAAACAGCAACTAAAGAACAGTGTTAAAACAAGTTCAACCACAAAATTTTAAACATTTAAAAATCCAGGATAATAAAAAGGTGATTGCTCGGCAGGGAAAAGGTACCAAAGAATGCTTTCTGGTGTGTGTGGGGGGGCGGGGGGGACCAACATGGAAAAAGCCATGGGGCAGGCGATCTTTCAGGTAACTTGGTCCTGAGTTGTTCAGGGCTTTATATGCTAACAGCAAGACCTTGTCATATAACTGCCACTTGGGATAACACTACAGTGGTACCTCTGGTTACAAACTTAATTCATTCTGGAGGTCCGTTCTTAACCTGAATGGGGTGGGCTAATGAGCCTCCTGCTGCCGCCATGCCGCTGCTGCATGATTTCTGTTCTTATCCTGGGGCAAAGTTCTTAACCCAAGGTACTACTTCCAGGTTAGCGGAATCTGTAACCCAAAGTGTTTGTAACCCAAGGTACCACTGTATATGGAGGTGGCTCCCATTCAGTTGGGGTGGGGGGGCACACATATGAAAGTGGGCCCAAGTGGCATGTACAGTTGTCTGCTTGGACCCTAGCATGAAAATAAATTAGGAGGGGAGAAATTTTCAATAACTTCCCTTAACTTTTGTATACCTGGGATTTTGTTCTCCTAATATGAATCTTTTATAACAGGCATGGAGAACCTGCGATCCTCTAGCTGTTGTTAGACTCCAACTTCAGACTGTCTAAGGATGAAAGGAATTGGAGTCTAGCAACATCCATTGCACCAGAGGTTTCCCATCCTGTTATATAACCAACTGAATTGTAGTGGAGAATAAGTTAATAAAAGAAACTGCCCTGTCCTGTCCCATAAATAAGAAGCCAATTATTAGGAGAAAAAATTAGCTTACTATCATAATAATAGCAATAAACACATAACAAAAACTTACCTTTTATGCCTATGGATAATGGGAATCTCACAAGTAAAAGGGAGAACATATGATTTTACCATAAAAATAATATTGCATCGTATTTTTCCCCGCTGGAAATAAATAGTTTAGGGATGTTGGACCAATAAACAAAGAAACAAAACCTTGCTGTGGTGTGGGTCTGTTGCATTCCTCTTTCGATAATTTGCTCATGTCACTTAAGTCCTTATTTAAACTGGGTAAACCTGAGCAGGGCAAAGTTTATTCCATTGGGCCATGACAGAGAAATACAACAGGAAACAGATCACTTTCTTATGCACACTTCTGCAAATACTTGACTCTCCTATGACTGTTCTAGCTGATAGATTTATGGCAGACTTTCTGGGCAGGCAGTCAATATGATATGGAACTGAACATTCTTTAAAATAAAGATAGGGGAGGAATGCTTTTCTTCTGTGTTGTCCCCTGGATGGATAAGTAGCCGCCTTGCTGCCAAGGAAGCTTTCTCTTTTCAGATCAAGTGAATGGTTCATTTTGGGGCGTCAACTCAGTTATGACAAAAGTGACCCTGATGAGAAGTTCTGATTCTAATGGCTCTTTGAGTGCATAGCCCATATTAAGTTCAGGCTGCTTCAGTCTATGCCAAACAAATCACATCCATGCACTGCCACAGCAGAGTTATCGCTCACCCCAGACTCCCACCTCTCTACAGGCTGAAGAAACTAGCACCATATGTGTCATGCATTTAAAGCAGCATCATACCACTTTAAACAGTCATGGCTTCCCACAAAGGATCCTGGGAACTGTAGTTTGTTAAGGAATCCCCTGTTTGTTAAGGAATCCCCTGTAGGTAACTCTGGGAATTCTGGTTCCATGCCCATTTGATGTCACTATAGCATGCTTGGATGTTAAATATATTTACTCATTTAGCACACCTTACCATCCCATTTTCTTTTTCTTTTCTCTCCAGTCCAAAAGAGAAATCAACTACTTCATTTTCTGTTCTTACTGCTGGAAGGAGTGAACCTGCCTACATAGGTTTTTGGGCAGGCATAATAAAATTATAATGATTTAAAGTTCCATTACAGAAAGAAAACAGCTCCTGCCTCTTTGCCCTCCATGGAGGAGAGCATTTGTGTGTCATTACGATATGCTCACTGTCAATAAAATTGTGAAGCTGTTGCTGCATAACCATTTAAAATACGTTATCAGAACATCCTGCTTTCAGATCTGTCCTTAAAGATTTAAGGCTTTTGATAAGCTTTAATTACACCATTAATTTGTTTCCATTCCAGCATTGATATATATATATATATATATCTGGAAAGCTTCCAAAACTGGGCAATGAAAACTATCTTTGGAATTCTCTAACTACAATAAATATTAAATGTTGAGCCCAAGACCATTAGGTAAAGTGTTGAGTGATAAGCAAGCCCCTCAGTTGTTCCAGGAATGGTGTACTTCTTTATCTTAAAACAAAAAATAAAAAACCCCAGCAAGCTCAACCCTGTAAGTATAATCCATAGTGTACTGGGGACATATTACCTTATCACCTTTAAGTTTAGACACAACACAGTGCAGCATTGCTGGCATAGTCGTTTTGCCCCTGTAGAGAAATGAAGTCATATTTCCAGAGAAAAGTTCATAGTAAAACAGCTGCAGTCAGAAAGAGGCTTCTTGAGCTACTGAAATGACAGGATTGCTGAGCATCCAGTTGGACTGGTTCTAGACTTGTCATGCTTAGCCCACTGACTTGGGAGCCCTTTTCTTTTTTCAATAGAGATCATAAGACCACACCAGATTTATGTTGGTGTCACTTTGGAACATGTAGTATAGGCAATCCAAGACTCTCTTGTTGATATAAGAGTTATAGGACCAGACAGTCAAATTCTATAAAGAATTTATTATACCAAAACAAATTTCCTATAATATCTTAGTCTGAACTCAATAATGTTGTGTGTAGTGCCAAAAGAGCAAATTGATGAAATATATATAATATTTATATATTTTGACCAAACTGCAGGAGGCAGTGGAAGACAGGAGTGCCTGGCATGCTCTGGTTCGTGGGGTCACGAAGAGTCGGACACAAGAAAATATATAATATAAACATGAAATATTCAGAAATACTTTCCAATTCCTCACTGGGCTGAGTGTTTACAATGAGTGAGATACAATGCTCTCCAGTATCACACATTGTGCTATTGCAATCATTTTATCAGCTCAAGCATTTCGGCTTGTCAGGCGGAACCATCTCCCCTCTTCTCCC